TCTCTATGGGAGAGTGTCGACTTAGAAGTGATTTTTATGCTGATGCCATTGCGAAAGCCGTTCAGCTTTCAGCATTTTTTGCTTAAGAATGATGACTAAAATTTGATACGTCTAGCATATCCGGGTAAATATAATGACATTCTGAACATTATATAGAAGATATACATAAGAGCTAAGGTCAAAATATCATGTTAAACGTATTGTTCGAAAGAAATTATGAAACAGTCAGGAAGTAAAGGTGAAAGGGGTCAGCCATTCCACCCACAGAGGGGTCTCAAGTGTCATTCAACCACACATTAACATAGCACAATTATTTAATTGAATTCATAACAAAACCGAACCAATCCGTTACATAAACTTATGTCGATGAGTGTTACATAACACAACATTGGTTTACCATGTTCGACGTACATAGGTACTCATGGATGTAGACTGTATATTAATTATGACTTAATTGAAGTGAAATCATACCAATCCATCACATTTAATTATCCAAAATGCCCCGTTTTAGTCACTCCTTTATTTTACCTGCGCGTGGTCATCATTACCACCAATTATTCATCCTAGTTTCTTCATCATCATCACCATCATCAGCCTATAAATGCTTACTATTGAGCAAAGGCCTCTTCACACGATGTTTGAGCACTAATCACCAAGCTTTCTCAAGACGAATTGACAATATCAAACTTATAATTATATAGAGATTGTAGGGTTTTCTCACGATGTTTACGTTCACCGTTTGTCAGTGTAGGCTTATTAATAATCACCTGGAGCTAAGGTACCTAAATCAGTGGTTAAGAACCAACTAAAGAAGTGGTAGTGGGCAGATCACATTTGTCGCAGAACCGATGACAGTTTAGATGGACGTGTTCTGGAATGGAGACCACGTCTAGGTAAACGTAGTGTAGGGCGCCTTCCAGCTAAGTGGGCTGGTGATATCCGTAGGGTGACTAGGTGGTTGTATTAGTAGAGCTGAACATCGAGATCAGTAGCGAGCAATTGGAGAGGTCTGTGTCCAGCTGTGAAAGGAATCAGGCTGTGATTTCTCCAAAGTCTCCAATATTAAAATCATAAGCAACATGCCGACCGAGAACCGAAGAGTTATCGACTGCGGAAGAACCTGCTCATTGATAAATAATCATTACCATCGTTATGTCTAAGTTCTTCCGATGTGAACAAAAAAAACATAAATATCAAGTAATGTTTTGAATAACAAACATACAGACGCATTTCGAAGACTTTAAACAATAACAACAAAAAAGTATTTCGTTCCATCATCATCACAGTTCATTGTCAATGAACTAACGGTGAATATCGCAAAAAATATAAAAAAAATAACTAAACTGTACGACAAGTTGAAGATGTATTAGAGTAGAGAACATTAAAGTTGACACGCGAATTTCGCTTTTACCGCCATAACATTACCGCTAGATCGCAAATCATTTGATTCGCCTTCGAGTTTGTGTTCGTAACACAAATAATTGTATGACAGCGATTACGTGAGTTTAAGTCACGTTCACTTTTATTTTTTCGAGAGGAAATATCAGTTGCAGTGTTACATAAGGCTCCCTGTGTCCATACTCCGTACCACGTGTGACCTAATCTCTTTATCAGAAGATCATGTTCACGGCAGGTTGTTATGTACCTACGATTACATTCTTACATTTTCCGATCTGAAATCAAAACAACAATTTTTGTGCTATGAATTATAGAAAACAGACAATTTCATTAGAATAACTAATTTTGTTCTTCATACTCTTTATGTATAAGTACCTATACAAATATAGAGTGCCAACACTGTCACTAATTTATAGTTGGCCGATATATGTGTATGTACGTGGAATTAACCTGTTTTAATAGAAACGTAAAAACAATCAGTATAAATACTTGAGTTACAAAAACTACAAGATAATTATAACCAGCAAAAGCTATCTTGGTATATTCCATTCATGATATGGGGTGTTTTAGTCGTGTATAGCTTCGACTACTTACATCTAAAATACTACTTACATCGTGCGCAGAACTGGTCGCTTTTGCGGAGACAGTAGAAAGCTCCGGCCAGTGCACTTGTACGTCTGCACTCAGGAAATAAGGAAACGCTGCTGTGTAGGAGAATAAACAGGTTCCCGCAACTAAGTATATCAACACGCGTTGTTTTTAGCTCGCTGTCATCATACCGACAGTTGTGATACACGATTTGTCGATTACGTCTGTACCTACCTACCCACTATTCAATGAAATAGAGATATGGATTGAACACGACAAATGACTTGTTATATATCAATAATACTGTCGATGACTCAGATATAATAAGATACCAGAAGCAAAACAATATTTTCGTAAAAATACTTATGTAAATAACTATCAGCTATCTACTAATTTTGTTCGAACTGACCGGTACTTTTCAGTTACTTCTTGCAGAATTTTAAGCGCCTAACTTCAACAATTTATAAATAGTGAAGTTTGAAACTCTCGAGGATTTTTTGGTACTCCCATTTCCATCAACCGCTATCAACGTCATGTATTAGATGTTTCTACTCTCTGCATGGCTTTCTCTCATTACTGCTACAGTATTTCCTGAGAGTAAGGATGAGATTGCACTTGACGAATTTGGTCTGTTTTCACTTGCTTTCTATCATATTATGGATGTAGCCTGCAGAAGCTCTAAGCACAATCTAGTTCAGAGTAACATAGTTTGAAAAACACTAAGCTTTGTCCCAGCCCATCCGCATCCAGATTTCGATGAAGGTTTATAGACAACTCGCATAAAACAATCCTGGGGGCATTCCCCATTCCCTAAAGGTCCTGCAACGCACTTTAGTGTTACAATGACAGAACTCTTTTAGTGTTGGAGTGTCCATGTGCATCGCCGATTGCATACATCATAAAATAAAAACCGAATAATTAGTAGGCTGTTTTATGTAAATAAATTATAAGTTCTAATTGGTCTAATATCTACATCACAGACAAACTTTTTAATTGTAAAACAATCTTTACCAATGTTTTTGGCAGTGTGACATATAGTGTCAATCAGACAGTACCTAGCACAACATTGCAAAAATATCCCTATCCTAGATTCTTGTAAGTCTCAAAATTATTTTGAAATGAAACATAATTTAATACAACAATGTTGAAGAGTGATGTGGCAGAGTTCTCAATATGGAACTAATAATTTACTCTGCGAAATTTTACTGCGAGTGATTCTCCTGGGCTTCGTGTGCATAAGCCAGATAAAATCTCACCCATACATTCGGCAAATATCTGAAACTGAATTACTAAGTCAGTACAAGCGTCCTCGACTTGACTCTTACGTGCCAGCATGGGCCACAGTTCTGCTGATAGTATTTGTGCCTCTAGCGTGTATCTGTATACGGTTCATGGCAACAAGAGACTATGTGGACACCGTGCAGTCCTTGCTAGCGTGGACACTTGCGCTAACAATAAATGCAGTAATCACCGAGTCATTTAAATTGATTATTGGACGACCCCGACCTGATTTCTTTTGGCGATGTTTCCCAGACGGGCAGATAGTGCCTGGGCTACGGTGCACCGGCAATCAACGAGACATTATTGAAGGCAGGAAATCTTTTCCGAGTGGACACAGCAGTTTTTCATTTTGCTCGTTAAGTTTTTTAAGTTTGTGGTTATACAGAAAGCTCGGTGTATCCCGAAGGCGTGGAAGTAGCTGCGCAGCACTTGTTGTTTGCCTGGTTCCAATAGTAATAGCGAGTGTGGTAGCTCTGAGCCGTTATTGCGACAACCATCATCATTGGGAAGATGTCGTCGTGGGATCATTGCTGGGTGTTGCTTGCTCATATTTTTGCTACCAACAGTATTACCATCCAGTAGAGTCGGAGTGGCCGGGCGAACCCTATGCAACCATAGATAACGAATTGCTCAGTACTGATAACGATGGGAATAATTCTGCGCATCAAGTGCAGTGTTGCACAAAGACATAGATACAGAATGTTTGTCAATGCTATAGTATAAAAAATATATAATAAAACAACCAGTTGAATATTATTTTGTTTTTATTTTCCCAATGATAATTATTATTAGCCTCTAATTTTCTATAAATCACAAATGAAGCCGAAATTTTGCCACCATTCGAACATCTGCATTTTGTGCGTTTCAAGTGTAAGTACCTACCCAGTAGGTACCTACAGAATTTTCTTCCCGTGTCACAGCCAAGAAGATAGTACTACGTGCAAAAAATCTACTCGTGGCAACTGCTACCTACTACCCGGTAATAAGTTTAAAGTTGTGATCAAATAACGGCCCGAATTCTGGCAGATTTCTAGACCTGTATTTTAACGGATTTACATAGTAGGTACCTACCTACGTAGTGAGGAAGCATTCTCAATTTCTCTGTTGTCAAATTCTCTGTGGCTTTGTACTCACAATTGGCATTCGAACTGCGCCGCGTCGGGTGCATGCATCTGGCAGTTTCGACAAACGTAGACGAACTAATAAATCAATCTACCATCAGCAACGGTTGGCCTGGTGTCACATTTTTTACGTAAAGATTAAGGCTACTTATACTGAGGCCATCGGTAGGAATCCTAGCAAGTACCAATGTGATTTTCGGTAAAGGAAAACATCGTGGGGAAGCCAGTAAATTAAAATAGCCAGTCCGGCTCGAGCAAGCGTAGTGATTAATGCTCAAGCCCAATTGGTGTGTGACCTTTGCTTAGCAGTGATGATATATAGACTGATAATTTTAAAGTGTGGGAGAGCCATGCTTCGGCTCAAATGTGTAGGCTCGACTGGAGTGATACCACGGCCTCACAAAAAAACCGACGTGAAACAGCCACAGCGTTGTGTTTCTCCGGGTGGGTGAGGTTACCGGAGGCCCCATCCTTCCCGTTACACTCCTTAACTCTTCCATTGTTGCGGGTGTCCATGGGCGATGCTAATTGCTTGCCATCAGGTAAAGTTAGCTCGCTCTCCTACCACATAAAAATAATGGTGTAACAAATGATTTCAATAAAACAAAGTGATATAAATGATTAGTTTTATTTCGCACATACATTCAAATGTTACGAGACACATTATTGATAATATTGCTGTTACTTTAAGCTCATACAGTTAACAAGTTAGCTTAAAACTGAGCCGAACAATTTCATAAACATTTCTAGAACAAATTGATAAATTGTTTGTAACCAAGTACTAAGTACAAAAAATGAATCTCTTGACACTTCATCATCATAATCTCTTTATTATTATTTTATTGTCGCATCTGAAAATTGACCAATAAAGATTGAAAAATATATATCTAAAAACGTCAAAAAAGAAATAAATGCATTGAGTAAAATTAACTATTTAAAATAATACAAATCAATCGGAAGCCCAACCAATACTAAGATGATATTGCTATCGGTATTTTAAATGCATATTCTATTTAGGTGTATGTGTAATATCCACAGCATAGTAGATACACAAGATGTTAAAATACAAATAAAAACAAAAGCTATCCTAGAACACCTCATTCACCAATTTTTATTAGTGCCAAGACACCGTGAGTTTCTGAAATTACTTGCAACGCGAATAGTTCACAGACTTTATGCGACATACTTACAGTTCATGGAAGACAGACAAGTCGTAAAATGTGCAAAAAATACATATCACAATATTAAGACTAGTTTATTTTAATAATAATTAAAATCTCGTTTTTGAGGTGTTCTGCGTGTGACTAAATACAACCGTTAATGATAAATCTCAAAGATTACAATCTACATCTAATGACGATAATTAATTAAAACAAAGCTCACCAACACATAGAATACACATTGACGCCGATAAAATCCAAATTTTCTATCTTAAAACTGTAAAATTAAATAACTCGTGTAAGTACAAGGAATGTAGGCAGACGCCATTATAATATAACATTAAATTTCCAAAATAAATGCAGATTACCATTAAAAACAGATTTTTTATTTAATGAATACGTATTAATTGAAGTTTATAACAATACTTATACTATTCATAAGAAAATTCTCCGTCATAAAGAACTAGAAACAAGTCTTCGATGGTGATGTATCACTAAAATTGTGACGAATGGAAGATTCTAGCATAAGCATACAATATAAAATTGATAAATATTTATTACGTATCAACATAATACTATTATACTTCATTCGCTAAATATCTCTCTACATAAATATAATAATTATTTGATTAATATTCTGATATTCATTAGTGAGATTATTATTATGCGCAATACGAATGTATATTAAAATATTTGCTACATATTATACAATTTGACTAATAAGTCATTTATATGTCTTATGGGTAGAAAAATAACTCAGACTATTATAACAATAATTGAATATTCACCTTTGACTACTTTTATTAATAATTATAATATGTTTGCATTAGTCTTTTAAGTAATTCATATCTAAGTAACATTAGCAACTAATTTAATGCGAGCCCTATAGTCGCCCGAAATAACAATGCAAAAATAGATTAATCTTCTTAGATAGTAAAACCAGACCACTACATTTGTGTATTGTCAATATTTAAAGTCTTATTGTTGAAATTGTATACGGTTTATAAACACGCATGCTAAATATAAGAGGTATATATACAAATCTAAATATTATGAGTTAATTTGTAAATGTATTTACGCGTATAGAATATCTGCTATAAATAGGATACATAAACTTTGTTTCGGCAACAGTACACAAGTGAATGCGAGGATACCACAAAAATATGAAACGACTTAACATGAAAATCGACTAATGATGAACTTTAACTAGGATCACAACTCATCTTTCACCTTGTTGGCGTGGCTGCGACAAAATTCGAACATTTCGTCGAGAGTGCGACCGCCGTCGTAGTCAGCTATAAGTTGTCCGTTTGTATACAGTTTGAACGTCGGCAGAGTCTGTATGCCAGCGACGTCAGCGACCTTTTGGTTCTTAGATGCATCCACGGCATATACTTTTACGTTTACATTTTCAGTGTGAAGCTTCTCTGCTAGGAGGCTGACCTGTGGTTTTGCGTGGGTACAGTGTGAGCACCCTGCGAACAATGTTTCGAAATTCAATTACTTAAGCAGGCAACTGTAAAAGTCAGTCTAAGTCAAAATCATTTATTTTAATTAGACCCATACAGGCACTTTTGAACGTCAACACAACTTTAAAGATACAAAGTGTCAGTCTGTCGGTCAGTCCTCTTAGTGAAGCTATTCGCTCGTTCCAAAGTGTAGATTCCGATGGAGAAGAACGAGCAAGAAACGTATCTGTATATATTTACAAATTTTAACTTATTCCATTATTCCATAGTCTTTCTTCACTGTTTTGCTTTGCTTTTAAGTTTGCTGTGTGTTACATTGTAAAAACTTTTAAAGAATTGGATTGAATCACAAATCTCATCTGCGTTCGCTTTGAACTGTCAGTCATAAAATAGTTATTAGCTCAGGAATATATATTAACACTCGTAACTAAACAGTTTAGTCAGCACCGAAATCTAAAGAATAAAAATGCTGTAAATATACTGATTTCTAATAATAATAATTTTAATTTCTTTCATAGTTGGATTATTTAATAGATTTATTAATCGTGTAGGAAACAAGCTAGTGGAACATTAGTGGTTAGTATATAATTGCATGGGTTCACATCAAACAAAAAACTTAGTTGACCTTCGAACCATTGAGAAAAGTCTCACGTTATTAGAGGAAAACAACGGAGGTGCTGTGGTTGCTGTGAAGGTTTATAATGTACAAGTTGGTCAAAGGCTAATAAGGTACAGCTTATTACGTCATAATATGTGTAACCAAATTATAATGAAGTAAAGCATAATTAATAATATGACAGGTTTTTTTGTAATGAGGGTTTTTTTCGCTCACAATTTACCACTTTAAATTTAAATGTGAGATTCTATTTGTACAAAAGGCTGTCAAAAATAAGAAATACTGTTCTCAACGTTACTTACATGAAACGGGGGAACGGAAGAAAAAATAAATAAATGGCGAATGCACCGTACATAATTTTTACTGCGTACGTATATTTAAATCAAATGGTCGTGGTCGTGGTGGCCCGGAGGTTAAGGAGCCCGCTTCTCATGTATGAGGGCGTGGGTTCGAAACTTGGCAAGTACCAATATGACTTTTTCCGAGTTATATGTACTTTCTATGATTATTTAGACACCACTGACATACGGTGAAGGTAAACATCGTGAGGAAACCTGGACTTATAATTTCTAATTATAAGTTTGAAATCGCCAACCCGCATTGAGCAAGCGTGGTGATTAATGCTCTAACCTTCTCCGTATGAGAAGAGGCCTTTGCTCAGCAGTGGGCACTTATAGGCTGATGATGATGATGATATTTAAATCAAATAATAATGGTGCCCTTTGCGTATTTAGCGTCTAACTTTCGAGCGGCGCACGAGTCGTACATTGCCGTAATGTACACACACTGGGCACATTATTTTATTAATACTAGATATAAACCCGGCTTCGCTCGGGAGGAATTTGCCTTATATTAAATAAACATCTTGGATCGACAAGGGAAAATCATCAACACCACCGAACCAAAACCAAAAATATGGTCTACAATACATCACTGTTTTGATATGATGTGTCCAACCCAAACAAAGTAAATTATTAAGCAAAAGTGAATGGTATTTGAACATAAACTTCTTTTATGGTATTGGTTGTTATGGCATACGGCCAATCTCAGATTTACAGACAAAACGAAACGTCAACGGACTGAAGACAAGTATTAGGCATGTAAGTACATGAGCTAGGAACGTTTATTTAGTACCTAAGATGGCGACTGCAATTTATTTGTCAGTGCCATTGGAATTTAACAAAATTTTCCACAATTCTAATTTTACGGACATATTATGTTGTCGACTCGAAATCAATATTTTTTCATATTTTATTATTGATGTAAGGTTTCGTTTGAGTCTACCGTACCTCTTGACGTAATTATTAATATAGATAGATAGAAAATAGAAAACAATTTAAGTGTGGGAGAGCCAAGCTTAGGCATGAATGGGTCGGCTCGACCAGAAACTACGGCCGCACAGAAAACCGGCGTCGTTTCGCCGTGTGAGGGAGGTCCATCCCTTCCCAATCCTTTAATATCGAAAATCCTTATCCTAAAAAGGCCGGCAACGAACTCGTAAATCCTTTGGTCGTCCATGGGCGGTGCCGATTGCTTACCATCAGGCAATCCGTCTGCTAGTTTGCCGGTCTATAATATAAAAAATGTACACTTACAAGTCGCGTAGAACATGATGAAGGTCGGTGTCGGTAATTTTATAATCTGGTCAAAGTCTGCGTCGCCAGTCATCAATACATGAACACCAAAACCAGATTTCTGTGTCGTCAGTTCTTTTTGAGCAGCCGGATGAAAGTCTGCTTGGCTGTGTACGAACGATACGAAGTCACCTTCCTGTAAACGAACAATTTTAAATGTATACTCGAGTATTTCTCTTAAACAATTATAATGGCGGTTAGACGTCTTTTAAACTAATCTAGCCCATAACATAGGCCCTACAATAATATACCGATTAGTGCAATATTTCAAAGGTCAGACGGTTGTAGGCTTCCCAACTGCTTTCAGGTACTTGATGGAATTTAATTAAACAGTAGAGGAAAAAATTTACTAAAGACCATATTGCCCGAAGTGATTTATATGTTTTAAAATAATCACAGCATAGTATAAAAACAAACTGTCTTTCTCTGCTATATGTATACACAGGAATGTATGTATGCTTTAAATCTTGGAAACTACTCAACGGATTTTGAAGAAAAAATAATTTAAGAAGTTTTATATGTATACATCCATTAAATAGTGTAAATAAATATTATCCGCTCGCTCTGGTCGGATTGCCAAAATTATTTCACTGATAGATAGAATACAATGTTTCTGAGTGCTATAGGCTATAAAACACGACGCGAGCAGCTGCTGAAACCGCGCGAGAGTAGCTACTATTGTATAAATTTAATGATATTTAACAACTACCTTTCTACCGCCCGTGTAGTCCTTGACAGCTTTGTCGAAGTAACTAAAGTATTTGATCGTAGGGTAGCCTCTGACGTCATAGTTGGCACACAGTTCTTGTTCGGCGGTACAATCAACTGCCCCAAACGCCACCATAAGTTCATCAGCGAATTTCTCTGCAGCCTTTACAAACTCCGGCTTAGTACTTTTGCAATGACCACACCCTGAAAGTTAGACATTATAATTAATATGGTTGTCAAAAATTGCTACACTAGTGAATAGCTAGTGTAGGAGAGCCATGCTTCAGCACGATTAGGCCGACACGACCGGTATGATTCCATAGTCTCAAGGAATACCGGCATGAAATAACACTCATGTAGTATTTTTTCGCTTTTTCATTCCGGTCCGCTGCTCAAAAACGATTATGGGAAAAAACTGGTTCAGACTTGAGTTACGAAAGATGTAAATATTATGTCCTTACACTCCTTCCCCCCTCCCCCATCCTGAGTCCCCAAATCCCCTTTCCCTAAATACCTTACATCCCACAAGGCCACCAACGGACTTGTAGCACCTTAGGTATAACGAGTGTTCTAGCTATGCTTACCATCAGACGACAGGGCGTAAAAAGTAACGCGACCAGTTCAGGCACAGCTTTTCATGAATTTATGGTCGATTGTAATGAATAATTTAAAAACAACTTACATGGTGCGTAGAACATGACAATGGCGTGTTTGATCTTGCGCAGTGTGTTTCTGAATGTCGCGGAGTCGAGGTGGCGCACGGGCGACTCCTCTTCAGACCACGGCTTTTCCGGGGGTGGTGGTGGCGGTGGCTCTTGAGGGTCCTAACTCAAAAAATGATAAGTTTAACAACGAAAAAATGTTAATTCATTTTCCAAATAAACTAAATCATCATTCATGTTTTGATTTCATAAAATAACAGTTCCAATACGTAATACCGATATAAAATATGTAAAGTCAGTATTACGGCTTCGCAACCGTCAGAGTCGAATTTCTCTGGCAATGAGTTTTACAGGCCATCCACGAGGTGATTTTTCAAAGTGAAAACGGACTACTCTGTATTACACTACTATGTACCGATTGTGTACTGCATGGGTTTTTTCTATAAATTAAAATATGGACACAGCAAGTGTGGGAGAGCCAAGCTTCGGCACAAATGGGTCGGCTCGACCGGAGTGATACAACGGCCTCACAGAATACCGGCGTGAAACAACCACAGCGTTGTGTTTCGCCGTGTGAGTGAGGTTACCGGAGGCCCAATCCCGCCCCTTCTCCTATCCCTTCCCGATCCTTATATCCGCGACGCCTATCCCCAAAAGGCCGGCAACGCACTCGTAACTCCTTTGGTGTTGCAGGTGTCCATGGGCGGCGCCGATTGCTTACCATCAGGTAATCCGTCTGCTTGTTTGCCGAGTTATACCATAAAAAAATGCTGTTAATAGTCTACAGGCTTCGGTCCTGCTCCAATTCACATGTATTTCCAAAATCTTTATGCCTAGCTGCACTGCTGGCCTGGGAGACAGGTTGAAAATCAGTTTACAAGGATCAGGTTTATCAAAGAAGACTAGTGCTCGGTGTCTATCAATGTCTAGTTCATAAGTAGGCTCTTACAATCGCGGGAAGAGTTGCGACTAATTAATTAGGTCGTTTCCTAGGTGAAAAATAAATTAATTCAATGTTTGAATACAATTAAATATTCAAAAATAACTATACTTTTTACTCATTGATCTGTCGATACACTAAATTTTCGATATTTTCTAATTAGCTATTTGATTTAAAAATACTATGACGTCAATTTGGAGTTTCATAGAAAAGTGTCGATTTTGACATTTGGATAAAAGTATGGAATTTTGACTTTTACTCTCCCGTCACCACAACTAAATGTAAACTTACCTTAATAAAACTGATAATTTGGTCTTCTTGCCGGGCATGGCTTGCATCAAATTTGTACTCTCCCTTGCTGAAGTACTTCAGAGTAGGATAGCCTTTCACACCAAATCGAGAAGCAAGGTCAGGTTGCTTTGTGGCGTCAACTGCAGCCAAAATGCCGTCGATCTAAAAACAAATACAACTTAAATGATGCTAAAACAAGGATTATTACTGGGCTATTATGAACCTTATTTTTACCTTACTGTATAAAGAATATTGTTTGCATTGTTAAAGATTCCTACAATTTGTAGGGCTCCCTAAAAATAATAAACACACAAAACCAACCTTTTCCGACTTGATCCTCTTAGCTGCTTTCTCGAATTCTGGCTTAATTCTCTTGCAATGTCCACACCAAGGAGCATAGAAGACTACGAGAGCGTTTTTAACATTCGAAAGAGTTTCGTCAAAATTGGCAACTGAAAACAATATATTAAGATGTTTAAATTCCATAGAATGAATTTCTCCTCTATTTAACGGATTTTATATTACAATGTAAACCTTTTATCTATTTAAAAATACCATATCAAAATATCGTTGCGTAGTTTCAAAGATTTAAGCATACATAGGGATATGAGGACAGAGGAAACTACTTTGTTTTATATATTGTAGTGATTTAAATAAAGCTGACTACGTAGAAACTACGATAAAGGAAAACATCGGGTGAAAACATTGACTTTTAGAAATTATTGCAAGATTTCTGCCTTTGTTCAGCAGTGGGCACTTATTGTCTGGTGATATGACGTGTGTGGTGGGTTACATAGCAATATTCTACTAAAATTTACCGCTAAAGTTTGCAAGTTTGGATAGGTGTTTGTTCAGACCTCGTAAACTAAAAAACGGATCTGATTTATTTAATTTAGCAAAACTAGATAGACAGAAATACCACTTGCTTTTAAGTATGTGTTATGGTATTGTCACCTGGATGAGACGAAACTATTCAGACAGATGGAAAAACGGACGAGCGGACAGTGAAGGCTCAGTTATAGGGTAATTACTAATAATAAGAATATTAAAAAATCGGAAACGTTTTTGCCCTTTAAGTTCGGAACTATAAGAAGGCAAAACTAGTGAATACAATCTCTATACTTTTTCTACTGATAATATAATAAAAAACATTTACAAAATATACCTTTAAAAAAATTTGTGACCAAATATTGCCGCATCATAATGCGTGGTTTAAAATGAACACCTTAACGTGTAAGGTTAAATTTTTTCTAAAATTATTATCTTATTATTGTTATTATTTTAACACTCCCCAGTAAAAATCAATGTGACATTCTGAATTCTGAAGTTATGTTGGAAAATGCATTGACACTTGTATGCCAGTTATTTTATTTTACAAATACCTATGAAAACTCTTTATTGAAAAAAAAAGATTGAACTATAATTTCAGCTCAATTTATAACAGAGGTGGCGCAAAATCTATTTACGGTAATTATATTAGGCTCGTTAGTAATACGGAAATATTAACACAGTATATAATAAGACAAGAAGTTGCAATAATTACATACAAGACAAATCAACATGAGTAAGTACCGCAAAGACAAAACTCTTCAACGAGTGCAGCACCCAACTAGTTATCCATACAGGTTATAAAGCTGTAGTTTGTTTGTTTGAACGCGCTTATTCTCCAGGCCTACTGGTTCGATTTAAACAATTCTTTTTATGTTCGTTAGTCAATTTACCGATGATGGCTATAAGGTATAAAACATCACGCTACGCTCAAATAGAGCCGAGCAGCGGGTGAAACCGCGCAAGAGTAGCTAGTATCAGAAAAAGAAGCCGATTAAACGCTGCAAATAAGAGAGGAGAAATAGTTGGATCTCGTCTCATCCTAAACTTTACTTCGGCGCTGTGAATTAATCAGATTTGAACAAACGTGGTGATTAAGCGTCAATACTTCTCTGTGTGAAGCAACCAGGTATCACACAGATGATGTTGATAGAAATTGAACTCACCCGTCAAATGCACAACGTCAGAGTCTTCGGGCCAGCTCTCGTCAACTACTTCTTTCTTCTTTTGTTGCATTGCAGATGTTGGATCCCTCATGAAATCGACGATAGCTTGTTTTTTATTTTCGCCATTGTACGGCAGTTTGTATTGACCTTTTCTGAAAATAACAATGCAAATAAGAAATTAGATGATCATTTTTATTTTGTTCAAGCGCACTCATACTTTACATAATGATTAATATTGTCATACATTCAAAATTAAAGGCGCAAGCCCTTTTTACGCATTTTCGCAAATTTATGACCCGACAGACGGAAAAGAAAATTCTATGTCACTGTCGCCGTTGGACCAAGTTTAGTGTTGTTTCATTAATTAAAATAAATAATATCTATATTTTGTGAAAATTTCAAGCTATATTTTATATTTATTACACAAATATACTTACTCATAGTATAACAACGTGGGGAAACCAGTAATGTTGTACGATTGTCTTATTTTTGAGTTTCCTGGTTTGGATACATCAATAGCAGCGAGTAAAGATTCACCCTGTAAGAAACATATGAAGATATAATTTCTTATTTATTACAGAACATATTTAATAAAAAAAATAAGTAAAAAATCTACTTGGACTTGCAAAATTCAATTCTTGTAATTAATTTTCGAGATATTTGCTCAACAGCAGATTTTACACCGTCACACCACTAGTTTATTTATTTTATCCCCAACTGTACATTCAACTAAATTAGGACTAACAAATAAATGTTAAAGATATTCTAAACATCCTGGTTGACACTCGCGGAGACTGCTGACTGATTAATTCGTTAAGCAAAGGTTAAGGATAGCCATTCATTGCGATAATACTACTAGCCCTTTGGGCACCTTATCTCAAGAGAATTTTAAGGAGCATTTTGATGCTTTTTGGTTATTTAATTTATTTTACACAGTAAATATTTTATTAAGTATTTTCTAGTGTTTTTTTTTTTTTTTTTGAAGCTGTTTTCATGTATTTATATGATTAGCTATTCTCGCGCGGTTTCACCCGCTGCTTAGCTCCATTTGATTGTAGCGTGATGTTTTATAGCCTATAGCACTCAGGAACATTTTAGCTATCTACCAGTGAAAGGACTTTGGCAATCCGACCAGCGGTTCCAAAGATTACATACAAACTTACAAATTTTACCTCTTTATAATATTAGTATAGATAAGTTATATTGTGGTATAATATAAGTGTGAGAGAGCCAAGCTTTGGCACGAAAGAAAGGGCTCGACCGCAGAGATATCGAGGCCACACAGAAAACAAGCGTGTAACAACCACAACCTTGTGTTCCGCCATGTGAGTGCGGTTACTCAAGGCCCAATCCCTAGGCCTCTCCCCAACCATTACCAATCTTTAAATTTCCGAAACCCTTATCGAAAAAAGGCCGGTAACGCACTATTAATCCCTATGGTGTTGTAGGTATCCATGGGCGGCGCCGATTGCTTACTATCAGGTAATCCGCCTGGTCATTTGCGGATCCATCCCATAAAAAATATAATGAATAAATCTTACCTTTAATTCAGCAGCAGCATTCACATACTCCGGTTTCAAAGTCTTGCAGTACCCACACCAAGGCGCATAGAACATTATCATGGATTTCTTGTAAGCACCGGCTCCTTTTTTCAAAAACTTGTTCAGAGCCTGAAATTAAAAAAAGCTTTTGTTACACACACAAACAATATTTTGATAAGGTTTGGGGCGAACGGTGGAACTTATACTATTATTTTAAATCTAACTTTTTAATTAAACTTGTTCTTTCCAAAGTATCAATATAGTCATCTTACCGCTAAACTTATACAAAAAAAATACTGCGCACATATATATAATTCATTCGCAGAAGCAAAGTTCAAAATCTAATTTACGTAACCGTTTGATTTTTACGCAGAGCTCGTTCGCAATATCTGCATTTAGGGGTAAGTAAATAATGGATGCAGCATAGCCTATGCTAGTCTTGGGTTAAAATTAAAATATTATTCAAACACGCAAGTGATAATAATTCGCTATGATTCGAATGTCAACAAATAATCATTCACAGTGATCGCTAGAGCATAACATGCACGATAAATATTCTTGGGTACAATTTTCAAGCTGTACCGCGGCCTGGACCTGAGTGAAGAAAAGGGATGGGGTGGTTTTTACTCAGTAAGAGTCTGATACTCTCTATCACCCCACCAAAGGCGAGAGTAGTCATTTGATGATGGCCCAGAATCAGAAATGTCGCCCGATATAATGTGATTGGGTTTGCTTTTTACTATACAACTACTCCCAAGCGAGTGTTATACATATGATGTACTAGCTACTCTCACGCGGTTTCACCCGCTGCTCAGCTCTTAGTGTGATATTTTATAGCCTATGGCACTCAGAAACATTGAACAAGCAGCGGTTCACATTTTACTTCTTTATAATATTAGTATAGGTAACACTCGGCATTTCTGTATGTCTATTAACTTCTTCCTACAGATCTACAGCAAAAATAAAAACCAAAAATTCGCAATAAATAACTCATAAGTTGTATAGGTTAATCTGTTGTACATGTTAATATACCTACTATTATTATAAAAAAACAACTTTGTGAAAATGAACATCCATAGTGCACAAGTACATTTGTTTGAAGAGAAAAAGGCAATCAGTTTTAAAAATATTTCATTTTCCAACTGTGTATAGGTGGTAAGAATGTGTTGTTGTCAACAATTTTTCATTGACTTGCTTTGGGATAATCAATGGGTTATTTACAAACTCACACATATATCGCATATTATGGTTTAAAATAGCATTCGCATCACACTGAACAGTAGAAAAAAAACCAAGTCTTTAGCCTTATACAAAGTAAAAATATACAATATTAGCTTTGAGTAAATACAATGGCAAGAGCACAATGATATTATTATTTTACCATCTCTCATATGAGAAGACTTCAATATACTAAATTCACAAATGATTACAAATTTAGTTCTTCACTTTAATATTTTATATTTAACTTTATCAAGTGTTAAATATGTTTTTGCACAAACATAGTTAAAACTTTAAACAAAAATTTGAAATTCTCATTATTAAGTTTTCAAGCTTATCAAGAAATGCTGATAAGGAAATATTGACAGGAAATATATTTTTTTGCTTATATAAAAAACGTTGCCCCACACTAGGATTTTCTCTTGTGTTGTTGGTGCGTTTACAAACATACAATTTCACATGCACATCACACCCAGACCCGGAACAACAATCTGTGGATCACATAAAGAGTTGTTCCGTGCGGGAATCGAACCCGCGACATGTTGCGCTCCAGCCAGTTGCCCAACCACCGCGCCAACCGTGCAGTCAATATATAATAGATAGTCTTTACAAAGATTTAAAATTGTAATACAAACCAAATCTCAACTGTAATAAATTGAACAACTTTGAAAAACAGATACTCAAAGAATTACTAATTAATTTAAAAATAACATATTTAATCTTATAAAATTTCTTTACAATTGGGATTGTTTATGTTGCATTTCATTATAATTATAATAAATAAATGAAAATGTACAAACCTCTCCATCTTGAAGGTGAAATATATCAGTGGCAGTTGGATCTTCATCCCATGGTAGGTCTCCAGTGGGGTCCCTCAAGAAGTTTGATAAAGAGTAACTTGACTCATTTCTGTCATAATCCTTATGATATTCACCGTCTTTGTAGTGCTTCAAGATGTAGGGTTTATCCGTAGAGACCTTCAGTTTCTTACATAGCTTTCTACCATCACTGTAACACAAAAAAAATATTTTATTAAATATTACTTTGACAACATTACCATCATCACCTTCCTGCCCTTGTCCCGTTTTATTTGGGGTTGGCGCAATGTTTTTTTCTTCCATTCTGTCCTGTCACTCGTCACACTATCGCTAACTCCTCTGTCTTCCATATCACTTCTCACACAATCCATCCATATTTTCTTTGGTCTCCCTCTCCCTCTCCATCGATCCATATTTATATTTATGGCTTATTTGACAACATTACCAAAGGTGTATAAAACAAGAATATTTTCAAGCTTTTGTGTAAGGTGGTATAGAATTTGAAGATCTGGGATTTAGGTTTTGGGAATGGGAGATAACACAAATGAACATAAAATTGGTAAAAAATGAAACAAAAAGCTTTTTCAGCATTACCTTTGTACAAGGAACATGTCATTTTTTCTAATCAGGGTGTGGAATATTTTTCATTCAGGTGCCTACTTGATTTGCTTATTCTATGCTATGGTTTAACGAAAGTCTGTTTATTTCATTTTATTTTTACAAATACATTGATAATGTTTAATGTTAGTGTCAACTTACCTACTAGTGCAGTCTATTAAAGCAAGGGTGGCTTGTCCCTTCATAGCATCAGCTGTGTCTTTAAACACATCTGTTATGGTGAGTGAACTCTTCAGCTCATTCACATATAATATCAAAACATTAGTCTTAGTTCTTAAAAGTTTTTTAAAATCTTTTATATCACCTATATCTGTAATAACTGCTGTTCTTTGTTTCTTTGCTTGCTCAGATGTTTGAATAAATATTATAAATAGCAGTAAAAGTACCTGAAACAATGATAAAAATAATTTGTAGATGTATATTTGGTTTGTAGTTATTAGGTTTCCCCCATGCAGCAAATGGGGTTTTCAATAAAATAATATATTTAATGATAAATTGAAATGACATATTACGTTAGGCTTTTTTGTCTGATTCTAGACTCCGATCATTCATATAATTTTAAATGTGGGTACTTTTAAATGTCAATCAATGTCAGTTTCTGTTTCCAGACTTAACCATTCAACAATGGTAATTCGAGACATATTAAAAGAACTGAGAAGAACAATAGATGTGCTAAGCCGGCATTCACTTGAGGTTTACTGTACTAAACATGTCAGGATATTTGTACACCTCCAAGTCAGGCAAAATCTTTAGGGCCTATATGAGTGACTGTTCCACAAAATAATCAATTAGATTGGAGCTAATCCTATACAAAATGTGGTAAACATGTCCTTATTTCCACAAATACTAGTAAATAATAATAGAGCTTAACTAAAAATAAATGTTAAAACAGGATACACTCAATTTATCATTCGCCGCATAGTATTGTTCGCAACTGATAAACTTGCCGGCACTTTCCAACGCCTCTGCATTTTAAATAGCTAGGTATATAACCTGTTTTTCTTCAGGGGCTAGTTTTAGATTGCACCTATCATTATTAAACTGTAAAGTTATCTGACAATATTGAAATTGCAACATAATTATCAATGAAAGATAAAAATCACTTTAGTACAGTTACGATTTCAGATTCACGTACGATAAAAGTTTACAAAATGTAAAAACTACTTACACTCCAAACTATTTTTCGATCCATGACCACCAATAACAGCACCTTTGCTATATAATTATTACTTTTACATATAAAAAGTATAATACATGTGTATTTTTTTAGTTATGCCTAAAACTACTTTCATTTACTTTTGCACAAGCAAGCTTAATACACCATCAGCAGTTTTAAAATGACAACCTTATGACAAATAACTGACACAAGGCATTTGGAAATGACAAATGTAGGGTAGTCACACTCGCTCACAACTCACCTAAACAAAACTGAAAAATTTACTAAGTTGCCCTATTTATTTACTAGTTACAAAAGAAATTATATCTTGTTTTTTATTCATTTTGATTGTTCAATGATAAAAACGTAAACAAATTTAGGTTTATGAATCACCCTTCAACTAAACTTGTACATTCTTTTTCCTTACATTTCTGGTTGAATTTATCGAAATTAATGATCTCATTATTTAAATCTTTGCTAACAGACTTTCTATGTATTTCAACAATTATTTTCTTCAAGTTATTATTTATGCCGCTACGAATTTTACGCTACTACTTATGCTTAATAGCATGCTGCTCTGGTCTTCGCATTATTGTGGTGGAATGAAACTACCTAAGTACATAACAGAGCATCAATCTATTTTAATATTTCGGTTCATGTAATTACTTATGACTACATAATAAATGATTATTTATTAGACGATAAGAAAGGGAGGTAGTGAGGTCTTAAAGACTCTATTCCAAAACAAATGTAAGGAGCGGCTCTTTAAAAAAATACTCAATGTCATAGAGGTCATTCGAGTTGGTTTGTTTTCTTTGTTACAAAATTGATTATACATAAGTGCAGTCTTGTGATTGGTCAAGTAGATAGGAAGAATAAAAGGAACGGTTTGTCATTGGTTTAAACATTTTATCTAGAGAATAAGAGGTATCAAAAATAATTGATGTAAAAGAGAATAAAAGCCATTTTCGATTACAGCACTTCTATCCGGTTTCCCGCTGGCGGTGAAGATTTAATTCGTATTTATTCATGTAAGTGCACAAAATTAATTAATTTATATATATGCTGGCCACTCCTTGAGTAACACTTTCTTCAATGACTAAAATTTTATCCTTTTAAAATACCTAGTCTAGAATAAAATTACAAGCACCTAGTGAATTACCTTATCTAATTAGAAAGTTCTTATTTTTATTTATTTAAAAAATGCTGAAAATTTTGCCCGCATTTAATAAGTACTGATATATCTAAAATACTTTAAAGTTCACTGAGCCTAAAGCAATAACTTTTCCTTATATATTTTTCGAAACTACCTATGTTTTGAGATGTGGGTATCATACATTTTTATGAGAGCAACTTTATCTTACTCTTAAAGTTTATAAATTGATACAGGCAATGTTGTTAACATAGGTTAAGATGGTCAAACAGGTCATGACTCAATGTCACAAGAATAATATATGTTCCTTTTATCAATTTGTAAATGAAAACCAGCTGATTGTATCTGTCCTCTGACTGATTACAGGTAATTTGTTAATGATATCTGATTCTATTAAATTAGATATCATAAGTATAGAATATTGTTTTATATGTAATATGTAGTTCCCAGTAAATGTATAAAACTTTTTTCCATAAATACCTTAAATTAACGATAGCATTTTAAAGAACGAATATTTAAATTCACATAGTTGAAGATCAGTTATAATCATTCATACATTATGGTGGTACATATAACATGGCATTGATCTTTTGTTTAACTGTGAACTAATTACGTCTACTATAAAGTGTAATAACTGTGAACATTTTGTTTAGATTATAAAACTCCTTCAAAATGGGTCGTAAATTTGTGGTTGGTGGCAACTGGAAGATGAATGGAGACAAGAAACAAGTCACCGAAATTGTCGAGACACTTAAAAAGGGCCCCTTGGACCCTAATGTGGAGGTAATGTTAAATCAACTAAACTTCTTTAAATAATAGACTCTTGTCTGCTGCTATACAATATGCAATAATTTTCTCCTTCTCGCTTATATCTACAGTAGTCCAATTAAATTATTTTAAATAACAGTAAATATTTCTAAATTGAATTTCAGGTTGTAATAGGTGTCCCTGCCATCTATCTGGAGTATGTCCAAAGTATTGTTCCCAACACAATCAACGTTGCAGCACAAAACTGTTGGAAGGCACCAAAGGGAGCTTTCACTGGTAAGAAACTAAATTTATTTACTTAATGAATATTGCCCTATACCTATGTGAACACCTTTTTCAGTTACTTATTTCTTGATTTTAGGTGAAATCTCCCCTGCTATGATTAAGGACATCGGAGCTAACTGGGTGATCCTTGGTCACTCTGAACGTAGGACCATTTTTGGTGAGAAAGATGATCTTGTCGCAGAGAAAGTGAGTATTAATTTAGTGTACTCACTATCAAATAATAGTTTTGTTTTTAAGTAGATACTTATTAAAGTGCATCTTTCAGGTTGCACATGCCCTTGAATCTGGACTCAAGGTTATTGCTTGCATTGGAGAGACTCTTGAGGAAAGAGAGGCTGGAAAAACTGAAGAAGTAGTGTTCAGGCAGACTAAAGCCCTTTTACCAGCTATCGGCAGCAACTGGGACAAGGTTGTACTAGCCTATGAGCCTGTCTGGGCAATTGGTACTGGCAAAACTGCCTCCCCACAGCAGGTAATTATACTAATTACTTTTACAAAAATAAAAGATACAATAATTGATACACTCAAATCTTTATTATTATGTTTCCACATATACAATCAGTGTTAATTTGTAACTGTACCTATATTTTGAGCAGTGTTGTCTATTAAATTAATCAACATTAATTTCTGTACAATATGCATTGATTGAGTAAGACATTCTTACAAATCAATAGTGTATGAGGTATAATATAACAGTCTTAAATGTGTTTTGTAGGCTCAGGATGTGCATGCTTCACTCCGTAACTGGTTGTCAGCCAATGCTTCTGCTGACGTTGCCAGCTCTGTGCGTATTCAGTATGGTGGATCTGTGACTGCTGCCAATGCTAAGGAGCTGGCTGCCTGCCCCGACATTGACGGTTTTCTCGTCGGAGGAGCCAGTCTCAAACCAGAGTTCGTTGACATCGTCAATGCCACCCAGTAAAACATTAGTCTGCTAGTGCAAACATATATTTACTTTTTATAATAATTTTGTTGTAAGGTTAATTTATAAATTTAGAAACAAATCATGGAAATAAAAATAAGTGTTAACTTTTTATTTGCTTTGGCGAATGTTATTGAGATTTATTAAAATACAGTTACCTACTAAAAGGTTACACTATATTACATTGTTTAAAAAGTTATCAATCTTTGTAAAATTGCTTTTACTTCATGTTATACAAAAGTTGATTTTTCCTAAAAAAACAAAATATATTATCACTTGAAAATATTGTGTTTCACTTTAGACCCCAATGTTCAAAACGTTTGTACACAACAAAATTACCATACTACTACTTCTATTTATTTAAAAAAATCAAAAGCTGGCAACTCTTTATTAAATGGTACACAATATTAATTTGGTGTGTCAGTTAGGTCCATTTAGTGTTTTGGCTTGCTTTCTTCTGAACTGCAAATATCTATGGCGTTTGTAATGATATGCACATTGAGCGACGGTTCTAGATACTTTTGATTTACAAACTATAAAAATACAAAAAAAGCGTTAATCTTTATCCAGGCCATGCATAAAAATATCGTAAATTTTAAGTCTAGAAAGCTAACATCCAACTTTTTGGATATCAATGCTAAACTAAATCAAATTGCCTCGTCCCCTTACCTATTTAAGTACTTAAAAATAACTAAAAATATTACGCTGTATTGCCGTAAAGAAAAAAGAACACTTACGTCTAACATAAAAAAGCAAATTCATGAAAATATTAAAGATTGACTCTTGAATATATATTTTTTACTAAGGAATAAAGTCATTGGACGGCTAAAGTGAAAAGTACCTACAAACCAAGTAATTCGTCGTTGTACATCTTGCAATTTGTACAATGACTTTTTTTTTATTACGTAGGTACTTAGATATGCTCTAATTTTAATTTTAAATTCTACCGATAACACAATATATCAATAACACAATACTTATAAAACATTTTGGTCCCATACAATTTTTTCCCAGTAACGTAGGTAGGTTACTGGGAACCGTTTTTTGTTACTGTCCTGTAAATTTGTAATTTTTGACATTGAATTGCAATATGAACAACGATGAAGTAGGTACCTGCGTTAGGCTTAGTCCTCAAATACTTATCTATGGTGAAACGGGGTGAATAGAATTCGAGGGTTGAATAGATACATAAGAGAGGTGAATAGATACTAAGAAAATTCGTCAACATCTATTTACCCCTTTTGTGTGAAGGAGTGGAAAAAGGGGTTACCGTTTTATGGTTAGATATATATAATTGTAAGCAGTTATTTTGGGCTCACTACATTGGACACTTATAATTGTATACGATACTATTGACTTTTTTCTAGTAAGAGGGTAGTTTCCAACTTGTCAAATTTAATACTTTTTCCGAAATGAAAAATTGGTATGTGACGTCAACGTCATCGTCACATTTTTTACGTCAAAGAGCATAAGTAAGAATCTATTTCTCTTGAATTATCTATAATTGCGAATATTTGTTTAGTATACCGTAAAATCAATTAACGTGCGCTTATTTTAGTTCAGCTTAGATATCTGGTTTTGACCGAGGAAACTACTCAATTTAGTACTTACATAACCTAAGGCTATTGAATATGAGATAATAATAGAGACCTACACTTTGTGCTAAACTTAAAACTATTGCACCAGTATGCCCATTGATATATTTGACTATCTTAATGTCGACGGTAATCAGTTCTCCTTGGAAAATGTTTATAGATACTTTGATTCTCTACCTCCTTCACCGTACAACAAAAGGTAGGTAAGTATAGCTTTAGAGTTCTTCTGTTTTGCAAACAACCTTGCCCAAGAAAGGCAGGTGCTTCACAACAGGTTCTCCTAAAGAGAACAATGTTTTGATAGGCTCGAACCAGGATGCAAGGTAAGATAATACAAAAAGCCAGAACATGATCTTGACAAACCAATCCAATACGTAGAGGCTGAAACAAAAAAACAAACAAATTATAAGTATAAGAAGGTATGTACTAAGCATACAACAGGTTTCTTATAGGTGAACTATTGCGAAGATATCTATACTTACTCAAAAAAATTACCAAAAATAAATAGGTATACAATTATTTTAAATTAAGTGCCTAATAATCTAGTTCGGTAATTTCTCATCTTATAATTGACTAGCTTTTACCCGCAACTCCGTTCGCGTGGTATATTGACTTCCTGTAGAATTTTGGTATAAAACTATCCTGTGTCCTTTCTCGAGTACCAAACTATGTCTGTACCAAATTTCACAAAAAATCGGTTCAGTAGTTTAGGCGTGAAGAAAAGACAGACTGACGGTGTTACTTTCGCATTTATAATATTAGTTTGGATAGTTTGGACTAGCAGTTGCTGTTTGAACGTTTTATATTATTCTTGACATACACCGTGGTGTCTGATTGCTGTCCTTTTGGACTACAAGAGAGCAATTTATGACCACATTTGCATGTTATCATTTAACCCTCTTTATTTAACATAGGTACTTATAGTGTATAATATGACATATCTACCAATGTGACCAGACTCAATACTCAAAGATTTAAGACTTGTATACGCTATGACACCAGTATCGTGAACTTATAATTAGAACATAATGTCAATGCCTGTGTTAGTGTATTAATTACCCTACGAGTATTACGACCCTTCTCTACATAAAAGATTATTAACAGTCTCTAACCAATATCTCCCTATCACCCTTTTTTAAAGACTATCTAAGCATCCCTTATCAGTAACAGTCAAGTGACCTTTCGGTACATCAGGATCAAAACCGTATTCTGTCAAGGCGATATTATGAAATCGCAATCAGAGTATGTGACTAGGACGATCTAGAACAAGTTCATATTCGATTCTAAACTTATATAGATTTACGTATGTAGGTACCTACGGTACGTATAATTAGATAATGGCTTACGATTTCATGGCCTACTTATTTGGTATCTAGGTTTATATTTAGGTGTCTGTTCAATACTTACAATCTATGATAAATCCTGTTATAGGGAATTTTAGTTGGATCTTCCTTAAAGCAGTATACACGACCTCCTTCCACGCACATCTTCATATACTCGTCGCGATCCGCATCCGTGATGTCAGTATTGAATATTACTTGCTCCTCTGGACTTAATTTTTCCTTGATAGCATCGTAGTTAGGACACGGGAAGTTCCAAGGTCGCATTGTAAAGTATTGCAACACTTCCAAACCTTGGGATATCCTTTCTTGGATTCGTATCATTCTGCAGAAAAAAAATTACAAGGTCAACCTTGACCTACCCAGATTTTCCAATGTAAAATGTGTTACTAATGGAAACAACAAATACTGGGTACATGTACTGACGGGCATTACATGCATCGTGAATTTGTGATGTAACATTGCCTGTGGCATTGTCGCTGCAGAGGTCTAACTGTACAATAACTGTTAAGTAGACTTTGGCTACACTTCGGCAATAAGTACCAAATGTTGGCGTGGGTAGCACTTCATATTAAGTATTAAACGGTTTACTTTTTATTGAAACTTCTTAGAACCTTATAGTGCTATAATGATACACTTCTATGATAACAAAAGTGTATCACTATCACCAATTCGAAAGATTACCTAATATAAAGAAAATCCTTGAGATCAAATAGGAACCATTTAAATAGTGCAATATGCTTGAAAAATTCTATTTTACTGCGAGCATACTCACATTCTCTTCTGTCCAAGTAAGAACAAGAGAAAATCGATGAGGTAGGCAGGCACTAGATGGTAGAAGATTCTTCGGTACTCATGCAGCACAGCGTTTGTGGTGATGTCTCCGTTGGGATACCAGAGTGGCCAAGACAGGGGGTACTTTCGTCCGTAATCCTTAGCTATCGTAAGCACGTCACCCCATGTAGTGGGTTTCTGATGACCGTTGTTCACATTGTATACAGGCAACGTTGTATGCCTGAAAAAAGATGTATATTAAATGTGTTCTCGTGGTTCTATCCATATTCTAGTATTTAAGTTTTAATAAAAGTATAAAGCTATGAGTGCTCAGGAACTTGTTAATTGGACCTGGAAATCTGGAATCTTTGAAAGAGAAGAGAAGTCTTGCGAAATTTACATAGCCATTTCCATCAGTTGAGCTATGAGTCCTATGTAGTAGGGGTAAACTTATTGTACCCATGTAATACATCGGTAACAGCTACCGACAATGCTTCGCTAGCTAAACACCATAGGTACTCCAATAATACTTAGGTAATTAAACTTTTTTCTTAAATACTTACTTTTCTTTCCGATTCCCTTCAATCATTCCAATAGCTATAATAGCATTGATCGCGATGTCCACTGGGCAAACTTGTGCAATAAGAGACCCGTCGCAGAGCATTGTTCTGATTACGCCTTTGCCAGCGCCCAGCATCACGCCGACTGGCCCGTTCAGGTTGTCCACCCAACCTGGCATAGGCTCCGCGACGGACGGACAAACTGAAATGAGAAATGATTTACCAAACTTATCATTTGTTTTATATCCCCAAAAGGGGTTAATTTACATAATAATATGTAACTAGCGGTCACCCACGGCTCCGCCTGTGTAGATATCGATATTGCAAGTATTTTTCCTTTACGTACGACTCTTCTTCACTTCTCTAGACTTCCACGAATAATTCAGAACCAAATTTACTAAATCGTTAAAAGCTTTTTTGAATTATAACATTACAACGAAAAGTGGCATCGGTTTTATGTAGACACTAGCTCTTACCCGCGACGTCGTTCCCGTCCTTTGATTACCTACCCTACTCCATGTACCCTAAACTACCTACCCTACACTAACTACTCTATCTATGTTTTTAGCTAGCTCCCTACGAATTTTCAGCCAAATCGGTACGAATTTTCAGTCAAATCGGTTCAGCCGTTATTGAGTTACTTATAAACAGTGTAACTAACACAACTTTTTTTGCTGTTTACATGTCATTGGGACAGTGACAGAAGGTTATTATACCCTTGGCATCCGTAAGTACTCAAAGGTATGTTAAGCTCAAATAGAATGGGGTTAAGTGACGAGAAGGCATCTTTTTTCTGGGATAAGCCCGCCACAGATTCTCAATCCTGCTCCTCCTGGAAGCCAGGATTTACTGTAAGTCAGGCATAGAGGATATAATATCGTCCTTAAAGTCATGAGATACAACCATGAAAACACCGGATTACCTACTGAAGTCCGCGTCCCAGGGACATGAATGACTCTGTCGTGGATCCCGCCACGGAATAAATCTTTAATATTTTAATAAGTGGTTAAGCATTTGTTGATTTTGCTTTTTATAAAGTCGAATTTGGTTTTTATAAAGTCGGGGGTTTTTTTTAATTTTTAATTTAATTTTATATTAGTCTTGACTGTCACGACCCAGTATCTTAGTAAGGGACAGTCTGGTTGGGCAGCAATCATTTTCAGAATGCCGCTGTACCATATATGTAATTGGCAGGTCCAATCTATTTCCTTTTACGTCCTTCCGATGCCCATTCTAGGATAAGTGTAGTTATAAAAACTTACTAATGTGCAGATTACTTAAGTAAGTAGGTATCTACTACTTGTTAGACAGATAGCGTTAGTAAACATTTGCTTCCATTAAGAGTTTGCGTTAAGAGTGATATCTACAATATTTTTGAGACATTCTGATTAGTCATAAGACTACTGCGACCACGAGTCGTCATTAACATATTTATTTATTTATTTTTTTATTTATAAACATAAAAAATAACTGTAAATTTTGTTATTGTCAGGAGAAGGTCCTTATGAAAGAAAACTCTAAAAAAACTAAAAGCAAAAATTCGGAAATAGCAACCAAGAAAATAGGTAGATACATGTGCAAAGTACAGGCGGCCCGCTAGTTTTAATAAATTAAGAATTTGTCTCGATAAATCTATACTTATATTATAAAAAGAAAGTAAAATTGGGAGTTTGTATTTAGGGAGTACCTAATCTTTTGAACCGCTGATCGGATTTCCAAAATTCTTTCACTAATTGATAGCTACAATGTTCCCGAGTGCTATAGGTTATATAACACCACGCTACAATCGAATGGAGCCGAACAACGAGTAAAACTGCGCGGGAGTAGCTAGTGTAGGTACTAATAACAATACCTATTCGTTATGTTATGACTGTCAATGTCATATTACTCTATGACAATCTAGATCGGAAAATTCATTACTATGGTTCGTCCGATTTAGTTTCAATTGTTTCATTACTGCTACGATGATCAAGACATTGCAAAGCAAGATGTTACCCTCATCAAGCTACTGCACCAATCGTATACTCAGGTCAAAACTTTACAGAAAAATATTTATTACTAGGCGCCACTGAATCGCTTGTTAGTATAGGGCGACGATAAATGCCTACAAGCAGCCTATTCACTTGGGACACGTTGACAATACCAATGAACCTTCAGTGTTTGGGATAACAAAAAGCAATATTTACCAATACTAGGTCGTGCAATGACAACTGGCAACTCGTCGTGTGCTTGTTCAACAATAGTTTCAGCCAATCGTTTGGAAAACGTGTAACAGTTGGGATGCGGGCCGAGCAGCGAGGGTGTCAACAAAGCCAGCTGTTTGTCATCCAGCCATTGAATCAGTTTCATCACGTTCTCTGGCCTGACTGGTGGGCCGTAGCACTAAAGTCAAAGGAAAACAGTTGTTAGTAAACACATTAGCTACCTGAAAACAGTATTTTATTTTATTCGTTGCTTTACGTATATCTCAATCTCTTTCATATCGTGGGTGCATTTACAAACATTAATTTCACATGCGCACTACACGGTAGCTCTGAATTAGAATTGTAAGCCATTAATGTCACATTGTATAGCTGTTGCTGCTGTTGTCCAGCCACTGCCTACCTAATTTTGACATTTAGGTCAGTCTCCGATAGACGATAGATATAGAAATATAAATTCTACGGCGTAGCGTATTGGCGTAGTAGGCGTAGCGGCGTAGCACAACTTAACCTAATTTGAAGAAATCATATTTTTTTCAATTGTAATAAAATATGTAAGTAGTTGACTTACTCTCTCTCCCAAAACTTCGTAGTCAGGGTAACAGAAAGCCGTGGAAAGGTGAACGAAAATGTCCAGTTTTTTGAACTTCTTAGCGATTTCCAATGCTCTTTGAGTACCGCAAGTATTCATATTGACATTGTCTTTTAAGGGAGCCTCCAGTTTTAAGGTCGCAGCGAAATGAAACACCACTGAAACTTCGTTGGATAACTTTTCTATGTCAGAATCGGATAGACCCAAGTTCTCAAACAAAACATCACCCTGCAAGGGTTTCATCTTCTTTAGGGCATCCGGTTTTTCCGACCGTATGCGTTCGAAAAGCTGTGGAAAACATCAAAGGTTAAAAACATTGGTTTCGTTTATCTCTATATCAAGTATATAGCAGAATTGGCATTCAAAGATCGTATCTACTCGTAAATGTACGACAACAAGTGTCAATCGAATACACTAACAAGAAAACTATAGAAAAAAGAACATAATTATCTTAAAAAAAATCGACGACGGGTTTATTGATTATTCGTTTCAACTATACTTTGAATCTAAATTAACTGTATTGGCCAAGTCAAAAAAGTGTCAATATAATGGTACCCTCAAACGCTGCATATCTTCAATTCTTTGAGCGACAGACTTTCCTCTCTTAGGTCTCATGAGTATATAGATATTGCCGACGTCAGGGATGGAGTAGAGTACTTTCTCAATGAGCACTTTTCCCATGAACCCAGTACCTCCCGTCACCAAGATGTTTCTACCCCTGTAGAAGTCTCGAATCGTAGGGTTCGCCATTTCTGAAACAATAAAAAGAAAGCTTATTAAAATTCACTCGATTTCTGTTAGTATATACTATTAAACTCTTTGCCACAAGATAGGTATCTGAATTTTATATCTTCTTCCATTTTCCAATCAAACAATACCAACTAATTTTTCAATGTGTTAAGTGTATCGTTACCACTCTATATCACTCAATAGTATCAAACAACATCGGTTCCCGCCGTCTGTGCCTATGTATGTTAAGATCTATAAAACATATAACAGACTCATAAATCAAATACTAATTTAAAAAAAAAAACTTTAAACCGGGTCATGCATATCTATTTTTGTAACCGATAGTTATTCGTCTATTTTTAAAACTTATAAAAACTTGTTTGTGTGCAACATAACTCTTTGGTTATGACTTACCTAATGATTTAAATTTAGATTAATGTTACTCGGATTAGCGTTTAAACTGAAAGTTGCAGATGTAAATATCTAAATATAACATGTCTGTCTATGATGTCTGCATCATTTATTTATTTACTTGTTATTTAGGAAATAGCTTAGTTAAGTAGGTGTAATCTTTTTAGTTCATGCATACTTACGTATATATACCTTACTACGTGCCGCCCGCGGCTTTGTACGCGTATAAAAAAAGTTTCCCGGGATTTAAAAATAGCAGTGATAAAAGCAAATCACGTAAAATTTTCAGGAACATAAAAGCTATGTATCAGTGAAAGACATTTGGAAATCCCACCAGAGTGCCAGTGGTTCCAAAGATATACTTACAAAAGTTACCTCTTTAGAGAAATAATAAAAAATCTGTTTGCTTACACAAACCTAGTAGGTATATACTTTGAAATTAGAAGGCTTGATGGCTACTAGCAGCGTTTAATCGTTAAAATAATGCTATTTGATTTGCAGTTGTATTAACCGTAACTCATACATTTCTTTCTGTCGAAAACTTCCAATTGTTTCATTATTTATGATACATTCGAAAATAATTATTATGATAGCAATAACAATTATCACTTGGTTTTTATGACTTACCGACGTAGTTAAGGAATATCATTTGTAAGTAAGAAGGTTGAGAATATGGAGACAGTTTTGTCTAGTAGCATATACTTATATATACCAAGCTATGTCGCCACTGTACTAGTGAATGTGCATCTACTTGTACGTAATGATAGGAATAAAATCCTAAGAGTGAGGGCGGGCAACACTAGTCCTGCGCCATTTTAACGCATGCACCACCTCTCTAGATTGCTGGGGTTTTTCTCTAAGCGTCGGCCCCAAAACAGGAGAAGGAACGAGGGAGACAGACACTCTGACACTCTCTCTCGCCTTACCCTGGGCGGGAGAAGTCATTTGATGATTTACCCTGACAAAAACAAAAAAAAACCCTCTTTAGGTCGGTTTCGCGAGCTTTTGCACTCTAAAGCAATAATAATACGATTTCTTAAATTGTATGTCTATTCTGTAATGTCATTGTGTTTTCATGTTAAAAGTAATTATATAAGTGTATAGGTAGACCTATACATTTTGAACAAGACGCTCAATTATAATTTGTGAAGATATTCTTCTAACATTATTTGTTTGTGCAAAAATATCTAAAATATTGGCTATATTTAAACCTTAATACTAATGGTTACTAATACTGCTTAACCCAAACTGATTTTCAAATACAAGTAGCGATCTACTAAGCAAGTTTAAAAATCAAGGATCGAGGGTTCGTATCTTTTTCATTTAGTATTAAAATTATTACAATAAACACAGATAAATAATATTAAGAAAAAGTTCTTAAACGGGGTTATGAATATCTATTTTTATAACCGATAGTTATTTGTCTATTTTTAAAGCTTATAAAAAACTTGTTTGTGTGCAACATAACTCTATGGTTATAATTGACTTACCTAATGATTTAAATTTAGAATTTAGATTAGCATTTAAACTGGAAATTGCAAAAGTAAATATTAAAATATAACATGACTGCATCATTTAGATATTAACTTGTTATTTAGGAAATAGCTAAGTTGGTTATGTACCGTACGTAGACGAGACTCCATTAAGATTCCTCGATCTGTATATTTTTATGTAGGTACGTGAGTAGGTGAAATATTTTTAGTTCATGTATTAAAAATCTGACAAAGAATTAACTATCTGTTTGCAAACAAACCTTTGAAATTTGAAGGCATGACTCACAACTACGAAATGGCTACTGGCAGCGTTTAATCGCTAAAATAATGCTATTTAATTTGCAGTTGTAAGTATTAACCGTAACGCATACATTTCTTTCCGTCGAAATATACGAATTGTTTCATTATTTATGATACATTCGAAAATAATTATTATGATAGCAATAACAATTATCGCTTGGTTTTATAACTTACCGACGCGTACATAGTTAAGGAATATAATTTGTAAGAAGGTTTTGTTTTAGGAGACAGTTTTGTTTAGTGGCATATACTTGCACGTACTATGTCGCCACTGTACTTACAAGTATTGAAAAATATGCATAAATTATTGGTTAAAATATATGGTAAAGAATTGACTGGTGTTACGTAGGTAAGTACCTAGGTAGCGTGGAGAGTTGTATTTATGTGCATCCACTGATAGTTTATAGGTACATATAAGTGTGTATACATACGTTTTGAATTTTGTGAACATATTCTTCTAATACTATTAATTTATAAATGCAAAAAATGTTACAAATGATGCTTAAATGTGTGTGTGTATGAATAGCATTTGTTTTAATGATTAGGTACCTATGATATTTCAAATGCTTTACTTGTTGCAAAACCTTGGGATTTTTGTTGAAGATACATTATTATATAGGTAGATAATTAACTAAAGTTATTAAGATTTAGGATGGGTAGGTTTGTTTTGATTCTCTGTGCTATTTCAGTACCAGTCGACAATACACCTTCTGCAGCCAAACAGAAACTGATTATCAAGCAGAAGCAGCAGCTTCCTTGAGACAGAGAAGTCTATTATAAGGTTTATTTTAGTATCTGCTGTAAGTACCTACATGTAGGTTCCTAATATCGAAATCCTTCAATATTTTTTTGCCCATACTGATAAACCTTAATTGTTTGTATGTAGGTAGGTAGGTACCGACCCGTTTTACTGTAAGTATTTGCGATGTTTATGTATATTTCGGTTTATGAGCGGGCCCGAGCAGCTTAACCGCTAAAATTAATTTACTAATAATATAGGTACTTGCCTACTTTTTAACCCTGCACTGGTTTCAACATTGATTTAAGTAAATCAAAGAAAAGAACTATAAGTATAAAGATCAACGACATAGCAAGCTGTAAATAGTTGCTGTAAGCCATCAAGCACATGTAGGTACAAACCAATAAATCTAATAATAATTTTATTTTAGGTAACAGTTAAATTATTGTATCATTTAGTTAAGATAATTGGTATAGTTTTCTTCTTCTTTTTTGATTTTTTGATTTCTATGTGTGTGCGCTTGCGCAGAAATAAAGGTTTTCTTTCTTTAATACCTATTTATTTTTCTTATCTAACTTCTGCTGATAAATGACGTACCTAAACAATAAAAAAAACAACAAAGAATCACTAAAAGTGTACCTATCTAATATAAATACTTATTCAAAATGGCGCGAAATTGAGCTTTCTATGTCGGTGTTGTTGGCCTTTCATTATAAAAATATTCCATACCGCTAGTTATGTTATTTAACTCGTCCACGCGGTTATTATGAAATCATTGTAATGCTTCTATTAATAGAGTAGTCGGCGTGGTTGCAAATTGTAAGGCTGTGTTTATAAGGTTGACAGCGGCACTCGTGTTTTTCAAGATGTCAACTATACCTAACAAAAACGATGCCTTCGTTACGTAGTTTTAAATTCTTACAAGCAATCGTGTAATTCATTTCTATTTGCTTTTAGCTTGATATAGCATAGAATAGCATTTTTTTTTGGTAATGTCAGAGGCTCCTAGAGGTAGAAGTTTTTTTTACCTGGTGTTCCTATTGTAAAGATCTCCACCGTCCATGATACCAGTCGGGGTTGCTGGTGCAAGTGCACTCATAAGAATGTACTTACCGTTTTCCCATCCCGGAGCCGGGGAAAGGACAGGGTGGTTAGTCAGAAAAAGTCTGACATCACATTTGCGCGACCCGGAATGGGAGAAGTTATTTTATAATTTTCCTTACTAAAAAGTACCCTATCACATAGGAAAATACGTATTGGTCACAATTTCAGTTATAACTTATATTGTGACTTCTATAAAAATATAAGTGAACTCTCTCCGACATTGTATCTACCTCTTAATTTGAATGTCGTAAAAAAGTAGGTACCAATCTAGTATCCGAGTGCGGTTAGACGAATATTAATTCCTAGACAAAAACAGTTCTATTTATAGACTAGTGTTTGGTTTCGTTAAGCATCAAAAATAGCAGCTTAGAATATTTAATTTTAGATTTTGCACGTGGCTTCAACGTGGAAGTTTGGTCACAAAATACATTTCACTTACTAGCTGTCGTGGCGAACTTAATAGCGCCTTAGCGTAGCTTTGACATACTTTATTTTGTATAGCCGACAATTATTGTCCTATTTTGTGTGTGAGTAGGAACCTATTTAGTTTGAATTGTAATCTATAAAATTCTCCATACAAAATTGAATCCTTAGGTATTCCTTGGTCTCGCCTTAACTGAGAAGGACTTTAAAATTTTTATTAAAATAAAAACCAAAATCTTCATTTTCATAATAGTGTTTATTACATAAATTTCAATTATTCCACTTATGTTTTTACAAATCGCAATGGAAAATCATGGCATTTTGAAGAAAACAATGAGCTCAACATCACGCCCATTCCAAAAAGTTCAATTCGCGCTTCGTGTCGCTTATCAGTTTGATTTGCTCTAATTTACTTTTGACTTGCTTTATTTCGAATTTTGCTTGCACGTCTTTCAAGTCTGCTTAGTGACATTGTTAAAAATGAAAATCCAACTGAAAATAAAAAAAATGCTCCCAGACCTGTGATAAATCTATGTGCTCCCATTTATTTTCC